ATGGAGAAGATCTGGCATCACACGTTCTACAACGAATTGCGTGTTGCCCCCGAGGAACACCCGGTCCTCCTCACCGAAGCTCCCCTGAACCCCAAGGCTAACCGTGAAAAGATGACCCAAATCATGTTCGAAACGTTCAACAGCCCGGCCATGTACGTCGCCATCCAGGCCGTCCTGTCCCTGTACGCCTCCGGTCGTACCACCGGTATCGTCTTGGACTCCGGAGACGGTGTCTCTCACACCGTACCCATCTACGAAGGTTACGCCCTTCCCCATGCCATCCTCCGTTTGGACTTGGCCGGTCGTGACTTGACCGACTACCTCATGAAGATCCTGACCGAGAGAGGCTACAGCTTCACCACCACGGCTGAGCGTGAAATCGTCCGCGACATCAAGGAGAAACTTTGCTATGTCGCCCTGGACTTCGAACAGGAAATGGCCACCGCCGCCGCCAGCACCTCGCTCGAGAAGAGCTACGAGTTGCCCGATGGGCAGGTCATCACCATCGGTAACGAGAGGTTCCGTTGCCCCGAAGCCCTCTTCCAGCCATCCTTCTTGGGCATGGAATCCTGCGGTATCCACGAGACCGTCTACAACTCCATCATGAAGTGCGACGTCGACATCCGTAAGGACTTGTACGCCAACACTGTACTTTCCGGCGGTACCACCATGTATCCCGGTATTGCCGACCGTATGCAGAAGGAGATCACTGCCCTCGCCCCATCCACCATCAAGATCAAGATCATCGCTCCACCCGAGAGGAAGTACTCCGTGTGGATCGGCGGATCTATCCTGGCTTCGCTGTCCACTTTCCAACAGATGTGGATCTCCAAGCAGGAGTACGACGAGTCCGGTCCCGGCATCGTACACCGCAAGTGTTTCTAAGGTGTCGCGCCGAGCTCTGGGATTCACAATTGTATCACCTGCTTTCTTTTCTTTTTTTTTTCTATTGGTGCTCGGCGGTTCTCGAGCTACGGTCACCGCATTGATGCTGGCGTACCGAGGTTACAGAGAAGAAGGAGAGAAGAAGGTAGAATCGGGGGTATGTGGTTTTGGGAAACGAAAATTACTGAAGTGCCTTTATTCTACACATTTATCAGACTGTACTTTACTTTGTAGTTTATACAACACGACTGTTTGTTATTAACGTTAATTAATTTATTGATAATTCTCCTCGGTCATTGCAACGAGCCCTTCTCGGTCCCGTAAAACGTGTATACGCAGATATACATGTATTCACACAGTACATACACACTCGGATATGCTTTCTTGTTATATCGTACGCGCACTTTGATTTGGCATTTGCGATTTGCACGGGGTGGTAATCGACGAGAGAGTGGAAATATACAACGGAAAAGAAAAGAAAATACCGTGACCAGGCGCATCAACGTCGGCTCATATTGCTGCCTGGCGTATTGTTCTTCTTATTATACCATATGATTAATGATAATAAAACTGTATTATATAGTAAGTCGATGTCGGATTATGTGAACCTTATCGCGGTCGATATCGTTGGCGAATGTTCAACGCGATGACACAATAGTCGTGAACAAATTGGCGTTTCATACCCTACGAGAATTGGGAGAAATATTGTGTTTTCGTTTCTCATGACATTTTACTCTCTGGATGCAGTGTACTTTGGCAGCCAGCCAATCCGTATGTAACTTTAAGTGACTGTATTTTTGTTAGGTTTGGGGTAATAAGGGGTTTCCTAAGATCTCTCTTTCGCAGCGATAAAAGAAAAAAAAACATGATCATTTTTCTTACGCGCGATCTATTCGAGAATAATCAGGAATGTTTCAACAGGAACTTCATCATAGAAACGTGTTCCACATTAATCGGGTTTTTACCGTACGTTAGTTATTGGAAATCTGCAGTTCTCGGTTCTCCTAAAAATATGGACAATAAGTAAATGGACTTTAACATTTTACGTGAGATCTTGATTGTAACGTTTAGCCAGAGATTACGATGAAATCTAGCCAGAAGCAATTAGGTTTCAACATTTCTGTGCCGCTAGAGAGTTATTTTGACCTGCGATCTCGACGTTCATCAAACGATCGTTTCTGTGTTTGGTAACACGTTGAGATTCGTCGATACGTAACATGTTCGCCTCTTCTTCTTGAACGCGATGTCCTCGGCTGGCCCCGGGAACGGCTGATTTTAGTCGTTTCCTCGAAGTCGAAGCGACGGCTGAATTGTAATCCAAGACGACCGACAAAACCGCGGTACAAATAAAGAAATAGCGAAAATAGAGCTGTCGGGGTAGTCGAATGCGTGGATGCTCCTCACGGCTATTGAGGAGTGCGTGCCGGGGGTCCCCGGGCGCATCTTCTAGCCTTACAAGGCCCCCGAGTGACTTACGTTTATTCTGACGCTTCGACGTCTAAAATTAGAGCAGCCTGCGCTTCTCGGGGCTTGCATGCACGCGTGCACCTGCATGGGGTGGATGCGCGCCAGTTTAGGTCGACGCTATCTCTCTTCGTAAGTCGGACACCGTGTGTTGTATTAAACACTCTCGGGAAGAGGACGGATTGGTTCGCGAGCGCGCATAACGCTATAACTCGCATGCTTTTACGTGCTGCCCGTTTATACGAGCAAACTTTACCAATAAGGCGATCGTTACACCAATGTCCAAGTTAGTTTGGAAAGTTTCTAACTTTAAAACTTATTCGAGCGATGCTCGATTCGCAGTATCGGGGAGCATTTTGTTTTTTGAACACGGAGTGAGAGTTCTACTTTATGCGGCACGTGTTCAGTTCATATTTACTCCTTTTGTAACGATTCAATCGAAGAAAGGAAATACATATTCATTTTACGTCCACTTTTACTTATAAGATCAAATACTAAAGCTGTTGGAATAACCGAGTCTTTCCTTTCTTTCGAATTTCGCAGTGATCAGTTTTCTTAACTTTTTTCTTTTTTTCTCTTTTCTTACATAACAATGTTATTTTTTTCATAGAATTTTATATGGTTTTTGTTCTGAAATGTATTGGAAAATTTTGTAAAATTGATCCACAAAATTCGGAAATATCTATTTTTGCATCTGTTTGAATAGAGTAACGAACGGGACGCTTTAAATGCTTATTATTAGCTAGAGTTCAGAAAATACCATCGTCTACGGTAAACATTACTGTATTTTGAAAATCAGATAGTTCGATAGGAAACGATCTTACTAGTATCGTACAATATTATATTACGCGCAGATATATCTTGTGACGTTGCATCTAACAAAAAATTTCTCTGATTTCTCTACAACGATAACATATCTATATAAATCGGACTTCGATGAAACCATTCAATATTGTCACGAACAGTGCCACCATTATCGCCAATACGAAGCGATTATTTCCAATAATATAATAATATGATTTGTTATAGTTTTATATAAAAATATTAATTAATTTAGATGTTCGTCGTTAAAATTTAGATGCGTATGCAGATCTTTTACTTTTCTGAAAAGAAGAAATCAACAACATTTAGACTAAATAATAAGGTAAGTTACAAATCGCAAATTTTAATGTCAGCCTACATATTTTCATCGCTTTTTTCCTTATTTACTGAAATGTTTAAAAATTATTAAAAAACAAAAAGTGGTCGCAGGAACTGTCTCGATTCCGAGGATTAATCAAAATTTTATTTTACTTGAATCTTCCTTATCGGGAAAAACGGCTAAAGAATATTTTAAGGATACAGAAATATTCAAGAAAATACAGCAAATTGTATTATATAGTACAGATGATTATTTTCGCTTTCTCCATAAGATATGATGTAAATTCCGGCACGAATCATCTGCTTCGTAAGATAAAGAATAGTGCCATTAGATGTAGTGGCAAAACGCTCAAACTATTCGCTAAGGAGGGAAACGAAATACAAGAATAATATCGTCGATAACTTATCGATAGTTTTAGATTTTAAATTTATTAGTAAGAAACAAGTGTATACTTTATTTCAACTATGAGTTACTAATCGTATAACTCGGTGACAATTATATATGGTGCGTATATTTAAACGATGACAATAGACAAAAATAATATTTGATAGGTCCGTTAAATTAAATATCCTTAAAATTAACAACAAATATAAAAAACAATGGGAAGATTTCATCCCATTTTCTATATACATATTTTTTTTGCGGCTAACTAAAGAATCATCTATATATTCAATTTTCTCTCTATTAATAACAATAGATAGCCTTTTTTGCTATAAAGTAGACGTAGAAAATTTCCTTGAACACACATTTCTGTATCTTCAAAATATTCGTTTAATATCTTAATTGCTATATTTTATTGAAGTGGCATGAATGATAAAAATAGTCCAATTATCCCGGCATTGTGTCGATTTCGAGTATGATGGACACAACATTGTCGGAATTCTACTGTAAAATCTAAAATTGTAATCGACGAGTACAGATCAATTTAACATTACCTATAAACTGTAAGCGTGTAGGCGTAAGTATACATATAATATACATAAGTTTTTTTGCATCAGCATCTATTTGATAAGTGTAAATGTAATTGGAAACGATTTAGTTTTTAGCAAAGCTTCAAACTGAAGGCTACGTATGACCTAAATTATGTGTCTATACGTACACAATATTGTACAATGTAGCTCATGCTCAGTCGTTTCACGCTTCTTTACATGCACAGTACTCTATACGCATACATATGTCACTACAGAGCATATGTAGCGTGCTTCTTTATCAACAAAAAGTGAAAGACAAATACTTGCTCAATCTCATACTTGTGATATAATACACTTGTATGCGAGCGATGCGAGCAAGTTTATACGTTTGATTTTAGTCGGCGTATGTATGCCATACACTGTCATTTGTGCTAGAAAATAAATACCACGCTGTTACAACAATGTCTGTTGCATTAAAGTGACGAGAATACGAGTGAAGATGGAAAGAATAAGGATTGTCTTGCTCGTGAAGATGTCCTTCGTGTGTTCTGTGCAGTAAAAATTTAAATGAAATGGTCATTCAGGCTCACAAATGGATACGTGTGTTCTAAGATAGAGAATTACAAATGTCACCGTGCATGAAAAATCTACATTAATAAAATAAGAATTTGGTGATTGGATTCGAGAGAAAATGGAAAACACTGAGGTTAAATTCCGAATTATGATGTCAATTATCACAAATCTTTTTAAGATCAAAAGGTATATTTTATAATTTCATCACGGTAATAAAACACAAATGTCTCTCTCTCTCAACTTTAAAAAATTAATAAAATCATATTTAGAATATTATATTGCGTACAATCATTTTTCTTCTTAGATTGGACTTTGTCATTTCCTTATTATATAATTGGTAGAATAAGAATTATATTATTTGGTAAATATGTAGCGAAACATTTTATTTTGTAATATAAAACGATAATATATTTGTTACAGGTTCACATTACATCGGTACAAAGTATAATGTCCAAGTTATTATTAATATTAAATTATGTTTATAATGGGGAAAATTATACCAATGAGCTGGTTGAACCAGATATTGTTAATTTTAAGTATATTAAGTGCTACTTTGTCTTTGGTTATACAAGAATGGGCTGGCCTCACACCGTTACCAATTTATGTTTCTATATTATGGATTATTTTTATTACAATAATGTCTGTATGGCTCAGTTGTTATTTATTTCAGCTTGCATTAAAAGCAAAAAATCCATGTAACATAACATTCCTGAATGACTGGTTATATCAAAAGTTAATAACTAATCTAAAATTACCTGTGGACAAGAATTCGGTAAAACCAGATACCGGGAAAATAATAGATGCAAATGCAGTGAAAGAAAAAGCATCTAAAGAAAGAAGAATTTCTTCGAAAAGAAAAAGATTGATAGGAGTGAATGATATAGTGAAAGAAATAGACTCAAAATGTATACGAGTATGGTATGAATCTATCAGTAATGACAAATCGTTTCCTGACGAAGCACAGGAATTACTTAAAAAGTTATTTACCAAATTGTTCTATCGAATTCATGTGATGGATAAGGTGAAGCTTACTCAACATCTAGCCAATGTGTTTCTATTACATTTTAAAGAGTATCGCAGGTATGAATTTTCGTTCATAGATTTATTAAATACATCGTTATTACAAGTAATTTATTGCTATTGTAGAGCATTGCGGCGAGTAGAGAAAGGGACAGCAAAAAATGTGGAAGAAGCATTTAAATATTTACATCCTGGTTCTCGTAATGTATCAGCTTTGGAACATATGCTTCATCGAATGATCAATATCATAGCACAAGAATTTTTACAATGGGAATTGACGAGTTCGTTGCCATGTAAACTATTGCTATCTATTTTAGCAAAACGACTATTATTATTTATAGAAACAGTCAGTTGTCCAAACTGGCTTTTTCAACGTTTGCTGGAATTATTACAGCCTATATCAAATGAAGTTGCTAAAGTTCAAGATAAAAGGACAAGCGCAGAAGAAACTGTATTACGCACAAAAGTACAGTATATTCTTATAAAATTCTATACTGATCATTAGTCAGTTAGTCATATTTTGTATTAAAAGGATGATTGTTTTAGAAGCTGGTATCTGAGGCCTTGTGCGATGGTATAACATCTTCAACAGCTGCTATAACTCCAAGACCAACATTGAAATCAAATTTAGACACATCTGTAAAAGCGACAGCCGAAAATAAAAGTAAAACACTCACTATCAACGAAAAGAGACCGACCTTGCGCTTAGACAATTTGCCTACAGAACACAGAGGTCTTTGGGGTCAAAGTATGTCCGAAGGCGATAACGAATTAGACGAAGATAAATTATCTCCTGTGTATGAAGATACTACAGATTTTGCATCAACAATTGCTAGATTAAGAACTGTATTACAACAAAAATCAACTGTGACTACACCCTTGTAAGTTACAAAATTATTTTCACTTTTAAGTAATGTAGCGAGTATCCTATTACATTGTACGTTCCCAGACATATGGAAGAAAAATCGTACGCAGTTTACGAAGGTAGTCAATTTACAAATCTAATGATTCCTTGGACGGAATTTCGTACTGAACCCGATGGATCGCAACAGTTACTTTATTGCATTCAATTTGATGATATAGAACAACGCGGTGTTGATTTGTTTGTAACTACGACGGCAACTGTTAGAAGACAATATCGTGATTTTGTTCAGTTACATGCTAGTTTACAAGAGGTAATTTGAAAACTAAACATTTCTGTACATCACAATATTTTATTTCATTTACTTATTATAACGTACGGCACATAGATCCCAGAATTAGCATCCGTGATGAAAAATTTAGTATTACCGGAAGGTGGGCGTACCGAGTTAGAAAATTACATCATAACTCTAACTACACGCTTAGCTAGCGTATGTCCGCCACAATTGCGACATTTTTTGCGACCAAGCAGTAGTGCTGACAAAAAAGCAGATATCGTAGCACCTCGTCTTGATAGGTTCTTGGCCAAAACAGTAAGTGGGGTTTTCAACACTTTAAAAACAGTTGTCCCAGGTTTTGAAGTTGAACAGGAAGAAGAAAGTGTACCATTACCTACATTGATGCCCTTAGCTGATATACCATGGAGATTTGTGGAAAACATTAAAACGGTAACAACTATAATGTAAATCTTGATCAAATTTACAATATACTTATTAATAATATTTACAATATTTTATTCCTTATTTGATATGAAAATCTATATGTAGATTTCTTTTTTCTTTTTAATTTGCACAGAAAAGTGTAGCAAGTGAACTCCAACAATTGGTCGCTGACAGAACTGATTATTATTCTGTAGACACAGCTTACGAAGCTGTTGATTCTATAGAAGGAAGCAATGATACCGCACTAATAGGTCACTGGTTGGAAACCGTAAACGATTCTTACGAAGGTAAGTTCAGTCTACATGCTGTTCTTAGGCATATAAGATAGCATTTAATCTGTTTTTATATTCGTTTTCTGTTCTTCTCGACAGAAGAAGCAGATGAACTGGATTCTCATTTAACATTAACATGTGCGGCTGTTGATCTTATCTGTGAATTGTTGGCTGGTATAGGAAGTAACAACACATTGCAGCAAGAAGCAGTTGTTAGGTGGACGAAATTACTTTTCGGAAATGTCACTGAATCTGTGTTACAGGTAAACATTCATGGTGATTATAGCTGGTAGTATTTGTAAGATGATTAATGAACTTTTATTATTCTATTTTTGCAGACTATAATTCTTAAAATTTTTGATTTCTTGAGTAATAAATCATTTCATAACGTACAAACCAAAGTTTCTGACGAATCATTAGTACAAGTAAGGGAAAGATTCATGCAGGAAATATTAACTACAATTTCCAATGATGTGAGATTAATATTTGGCGAGGATGATACGATAAATATTCTAAAATATTTACTTGGTTCTTATGAAATAAGGAAAATTAATATCGACTTGAACCTACAAATATTAGACGTTGTAGCGTCGCAACTGTTAATTTCATGTAGGGCAGCTCATCATCGCGCAATTTCTTAATAGTTTAACTTTCTGTTTGTTAATTTATTAAAGTGGAAGCAGTGCATAGAATGTGTATATTATTCACATGAATTACTGATGTCTGGAATCGTAAAGTATTGATATATAATTTTAGTCACTAAGGAATTGATGTGCCATAGTAAATTTGTTGACAATTTAGAACTATCGAGATTTCAAAAACAGACTATGTACCTGATTACATATTTAAAATAAGGACGCCAAGTATTTTTTCCATTAAACTGAGTTATAAGTTGAATGATGTGTGATGTATATACTGCATACGGTATGCATTTAAACTGTACATTCGTATTTAATGTTTAAGTTTTGTACAAATATTTATGACAAAAACATTATATTTCACAATTAATAAAAGTTATCAATATACATGAGATTTAAATGTATGCAAGTTCTTAGTAGTCTAATACATGTTTATTCTTACAATTAATAACATCTAATTTATAATTTATTTAATTATCCTTCCCTTGTTCACTTTTAACTTTCTGTTTCTCTAACTGAGCTCTGAAATAAATAAACACATTTTATTGAATATGATATTAAAAGCTTCAATAATTTATGTGATGATTAAATTAATTTATATAAATAAACCTTTGCTTCTCTATTTATAAAGAAATAAAACGTCATTTTCGATTAGTGATAATATTATTCATTAATATCATATTGTAACATAAATATAATTTAATGTAAATTAAATTTTCCAAGAGTTTGCAAGCATAAGTAAACAATTTGAAAATATATATATTTAACGTTAACGTGTACAGAGTGTACCAAAATTGTCCTACTTCCGGGAAATGAGAGCTTTCTGAGATCATTTGAAGTAACTTTTTCCTTAGCGAAAATGCAATCCGCGGTTTCGTTTACGAGTTATTAACGAAAAGCACTGACCAATGAGAGACCACTCGTAAATGAAGCCGCAGATTGTATTTTCGCTAAGAAAAAGGTTACTTCAAATGATCTCGGGAACCTCTCATCTCCCGGAAATACCATAATTTTGGGAGACCCTGTATATTTATTTTATGCGAATGTTCGTATTTTTGTCACAAAATTTACCTCAATTGTTGATTAAAGTCGTCTTCTACATCATCATCATCCCAATTGTCTTCCCAAACACTAATATCTTCATTGTCTTCGTCCGCCGCAGTCCAATCTACCAAGTCATTCATTCAATTGAGGTTAGATCTCATCATTTACAAAAAGATATTTGTAATCTTAAATTCACATACCTTCCGCATGAAATTCTTCGAACTCATCGTCTTCCTCCAACAATCCCAAATCCACTTTCGCTTTATCGTTCTTACTCTCGGTCATTTTTTAATTTGATAGTGACAAACAACGTTATTGTCCGTGCGATAGAAAGAAGCAACTAAAGCATGAAACAAATATATATAGACATATATGTAGATATACAGGGTGTCCCAAAAATGTCTCGCAATACGGAAATGTGGGGTAGCTGAGGTCATTCTAAGTAACTTTTTCCTTTGCGAAAATGCAATCTGCGGCTTTGTTTACGAGTTATTAACGAAAAACACTGGCCAATGAGAGGTGACGGCACGCGAGAGAGAGAGAGAGAGAGAGAGAGTCCGCAGCACGCGAAACTTTGACAGAAGGTCGGGACGGACTCGAGCCGCGTTCGAAGTATTGAACAAGTTACGAAGCGTGAACTTTCCGGATTTTTTTTTTATTACGTAAAAGTGATATTTTTAAGAAAAACGCTGTTCACCTCTACTTTAGAACGTCTGAAGAATATTTACTAATTTTTCGGACCCGAAATAATATGTAGTTTAACCGTGACAGCCGTTTTAATTTTCTGGTGTGCATGACACCTCATGTGTACCATATGGAATTTTTATGCAAGGTGTACAGTGAAGATTAACAAAGTTCGTAAATGATATTTTAATTTAAATAATTTAAACAGCCACGAAAGGGATCCCGTTAGTTTGTGCACCATCCTTCTATGTATTCCTAAGTCCGTGGGAATAAGTGTCTCCCATCTTTGGGTGATATGGGGGGTATGGAATAAATAAGCTAATCGATTGTAATATTTATAATTTATTTAGGTATTTAATATTTTTTGATTTAAATATTTCAAATATCTTGATTAAATATTTAAAATAATTTTAACATTTTAAATGAGTAAGAAGATTTGTAAGATCACTGTAAGAAGATTTATTATAAATTGTATACTCGTTTCGGTAGGTAACAATAATAAATGAATTGATATTTACATGGTGACGAAAACCTTATTAACATAATTCGTAAACTTAATCGATATTTAAAAATTGTCGATAAAATATGAAACATTAATTATCTACATCTGCCACAGTGACACCATAGTGCTGCTATCTGCTTCTGAATCGGGAAACTATGCCTGAAATATGACGCACGTATATAGAAGAAACCCACATACGTTATGTATCGAAGCATTTACCCATAATCCAAGCATATGCACTGGCCTTACTGTTCGTGATTTAAATATATTAAAACATATAATATTGAAATAAAGTTTATTATTTTTATAGTTGATCCAGAAATATTCTAATGGTTGATTTTGTAAAGTTATTTATGTAGTTCAACGGTTTCACTACAAGATGGAGCTAATCTTCATTTTCGTTTTAATTTGTGACTTTATGATCGCGAAATTATTGTATAATTTTCGGTGGGTTTTATTATTCAATTTTTAAAAATCCTGGTATCATAATAAGGTGATAATATTTGTATATATATATTGAATTGTATATTTGATTTCAATAATCAAATAAGCAATTATAAATTAAATACTGGAAGGAAGTGAAGTAAATAATATATTCAAACTGTTCAATGTATTTGAATTTTGAATTGTATATACTTTATTTCAATAATATATATATATATATTATTTAATAATACCAATAATTCAAATAGATCGAATAG